TCTTTTGTTAACTGTGAGAGACTTCCCACAGACACGAGTCCAAGGGTGCTTAAATCCCTCCTACAAAATGCCATAATAGTTGTATAAAGCCTACATACATCTTTTTATACACTTTAAATCATTCCCAGGTTGCAAATACAATGTGAATACTCTTTAAACAGCTACTGTATTGTTTAAGGAACAATAATGGGAGGGGTAGTCTGTGTTCAGTAAAGGTGCAATTGTTATTGTAAGTACTTCCCATGTGAGGTTGGTTGAGCCTATGGATGGAGACTCATGGATATGGAGAACCAATTGCGCTCCTCAAACTGACAATAGACCTTGTAACCTAAAAAGGAAAAAAAATATATGGAAACCTACAGAGGCCGAGCTCCAAATAAAAATGGGGGATCTGGAAAAGGAATTACAAGAACTGGCAAAAGCATGTAGAGCTAAGACGTATGTGGCCTCACTCCGATTCTCCCGGCCAGCCAATCAGAGGCAGAAACAGCCACAAGGCTCCACCTTACTCACTCCTGAGTCACACGCCTCTTTAATAGTCTCAACAGCACAGCCACAGGACATAACAGAAAGGAATCATTGTCGCCTGTCCTCATCAGAGTTGTGGCATCAGCAGCCTTTCTCTAGTGGTTGAAGGCAGATGCCGGGAGCCCATGACACAGTCATCACAATAACACACACAGGTGTATGAGGTCCCAACTGGGAGGGGGGCTTCAGGATCTCATGAAGACAGTGAAAACCAGGAGGGAGAGGTGGCAGCAGAGTGGGATGGACAGGGCTGGGTGCCTGGCACCATGACCTCTGCAAGATGGCAGCCACCATGGATGATCTGTTTTACCGTCTTATCCATACAGCTGGGGAGGAAGATAGAGGGGCTGGACAAAGAAGGCACTGAGCTTCCTGCAGCTCCAGCATTGTAAGGGCAATAGGACCAGGGCCCCTGTGCTGCCTGTCCATGGGCAGCCCTGAGACTTCCTTCATTCCGGCCTTAGAAGATGCATCCCTTACTGCTGTGGTTGGATGTGAAGTCTCATGCCATTGTGGCCCATGTCCCATGTCCATCCTCCCCCCTCCCCCCCAGCTATGCTGAAGGCCTGGTGCTTCTTGCAATGCTCAGGGGTTAGTCAGGGCTGGGTTAGACCCTGAGGGTTCTCACTTGATCAATGGACAAGTCCACTGATGGACTCATGATTGGGGTACTGGGAGGCGGCAGAAACTGATAGATGGGCCTGATTGGACTACGTGGGTCACTGGGTGTGAACATTTGAAGGATCTCTTCAGGTCTCAGTGTCTTTGTTTCCATGGGGTGGATAGCTGTCCTCTGCCCACCACACTTTTCTGCCAGGACGTTTCTGCCTGGTCATAGGCCCAGCAGTGCATCCAGTTGACCACAGACTGAAGTCGTGAGCTCAAATAATTTTTCTTCTCTTTTGAATTATTTATTTCAGGTATTTCATTACAGTGAGGAGAAAAGAATCCACCTAGTCTCCTTCTTCCATGCCACTCTCTATGCTTCTGCACCTCCTCTTCCTTACCTTCTCCTTCGTTCTAGTATGGCGTTTCTAACAACAGCAATCTTTAACAACAGAAATAATTGAGCGTATTTCAGTGAAGGGCCTTCACATGGACTTATTCTGGGGAATCACGGACTTCGTAGCCCCAGGTAAGCTGTAAGCATGTGCCTATCTGTGTGGCATGGGAAAAGCTCACACCCAATCTCACACCACCATTATAAATACTAAGAATGACAAAAACAACCTACCTTGCTGGCCACCACCAGCTGTACCATCCCAGTGGCTGAACGCAGAATGGCCACAGCTTCCTCGTGGGAGAGCCCGACCAGTAAGTGACCATTGATCACCAGCAGTTCATCTCCTAAGGACAGCCTGCCATCCCTGAGGAAATGGAGAGGGGGGAAAATCCCTTGTCAAGACACTCTGGGCCAGAGAAGGGTCATCGTCTAGGAGCTGGGCAAAGTCATGAGAGGGGACATTTATGACTGGATAGAAGAGGAAGCAATGACAACCAAAGATGGTCTGGGGTGGGACTGCTTTAACTTTAGGATTTAGACTCCCAGGAGAGGAGTGAAAATCTCCAGGATTCTTGATGGCCCCTTAGGAATACACTCACTTTTAGGCATCTCTGACATCAGTGTCAATGACACTTCATCTGGATGATTATTGTGATAAAGCAACTAAGACCCTCGGGTTTTAGGAGAGTCAAGTCATTCTTTCCCTAATCCTCCCTGTCATCAGCTCAGAGCTATTGCTAAGCCAAGGGTAGACAGTGCCAAGACACGCTAAGCCCACCTGCAGCCCTTCACTGGTCTGTCGACCCTCATCAGACAGCGGCGAGATTCCTTCAGGGAAACTGGGGACCGATGCTATGTGGTGAATGTGGGTAACTCCCTACCCCACCAGCACCTTGAAGAAAGTTTCTCAAGGCTTATTTCATCCTTGGGTCCCCACAGACAAACTATATAAGCAGAAGGCTCAGTCAGTCACAACAATAAACTGTTCAGTTTGCTATTGTTAGAGGTTTGAGACTGGGCCCAGTTCTGTGGTTGTAAAAACTCTTTCTTTTCACTTAAATTAGGGCTAGCTCTGGGCTTCTTCTCACTGGCTGGCAAGAGACTCAGCTGTCACTGGACTGTCTCCTCAGGGCAGGTCACCGCCCTAAGTGCATACAACTCTAGAACACTGCATGGCCTTCTGCAGTGGACTCCACTGAGCTGATGATGGTCTGGTTTCCCATGACCAAAAAGGAGCCTGACACCCAGACAGAAAATCTGGTGAGGCAGAGACCATAGCCTAGGGGTCCACCCTCCTCTCAAGGATAGCCACCACCACCACCCAGGTGCTGCCATGAAACCTGCGCATGCCTCGCACTCTCCCAGGCCCACCCAGCTCTCTTCTGGGCTTCCTCCCAGTGAATCCACCAATTTCTCCCCTTTCATCTTCACCTCCCCTCTTTCTTCCTTCAACAGCATCTCTCTTGCTGCCTCCTTGCTCTATGGCACACATGATCATCTCTCTCTCTCTCTCTCTCTCTCTCTCTCTCTCTCTCTCTCTTTAAAATTAGTGTAGGATTTAATAAAAGACGAGAGGCACAAGGGACTCCCCATAGTCTCTGCCTTCTGTCTTCAAAAATCCCTAAAGCAGAGCAATGCTTAGGGTCCCACTAGTGATTTAGCATGGCAAAAGAGAGGGAATGGGAAAGTCACGAGGGAGAGACACACTGGAATTGTCAAGGAGGTGTTTGGGTAGGGGCTGATCCTATGGGACGAGGAGGACCAGGCATAGACAAGTCATGGTCCTGCTTTACTTATTTACAACACCACCAAAGCATCCTGACCCATTCCTCTCTTTATTCCGCCCTTTAATTCCATTTCTCTCATCTCCTGTTATTAATTAGAATGCCCCACCAATGAGTCATATACTACAGAGAAGAGAGAGACACACCACTCCAGGCTAAGAGTGAAAAGGAAATGATGGGACTGATTTAGCCATAGCCCCGATGGGAAAGCAACAAGAGCATCTCCCAGATAAAGTCTCTCTCTGAGCACAGGAATTTCCCAATTGTCAACCCACCAGATCAAGCAGACCATAAGATATAGCATTAATGGGAAAACAGCTAGCTGCCGAGAGTTCATTACAGCACATCAGCAGTGCCATTCAGGAAGTTTAATGATGCTCATTTGGGTTAAAACCATCTGAGGTCTTACTCTCTTAATAACACTGTCACTTGGATAATTGACAGCTGCAGTTAATCTCACCACTA